AAATTATTAGAAAATAATTAAAAATAATAATTAAATTTATTATTTCATGGTGAAGTTTATTTTAAAAAATATATATAATTTATTTTAATCAATAAAATCGTAAAATAAATATTATTTCATTTATAAGTTAGAGAATAATATATGTTAAAATACTTTTGAATTTATATCTTTCTTAATATTACAATAACAATTATACCAGATAAAGTAATATTCATTTGGCACTTACATCAAAACATATTTTTTTAATTATATTTTAAAAAAATAAAAGTTTAAGAATTAAATTAGAACATGGTTTAAATAACACATGGCGATTGTTGAGGTTGGTTGGTGTTGGGGGAATGAAATAATGCAATGCTATTAAGGGGAGGCTCTTGCAAGTTCAACTAATTGATTTCAATTAACAAGTTATCTTCATTTGTCTTGTTTATGTCTCCTTAATGTCGCGCTTGGTGCCAACTGCACCACATGCCTACTAACAAATCTAAAATCATTAGTTATTGGATTCGGAATTTATGCAAATGTATTTTGCATTAACTTTATGTCCCTATCACTCATGCATATATACGTGTGTCTATATATATATCTGTCAAATGATCTCACATATAAAATTGAATGATATTTAGGATTTAGGAATTTTTCTAAAAGTTTTGAGCTGTGAGAGTTTAAAATATTCGAGGAAGTCCTAACATTCTCACTAAATAGTTATCTATTTTTTCATATTGAAGTATTGTATTAAGTAGTATTCAGTGTCGTTTTTTTTCTTTTAATTCGGTTCCAAATAAACATAATGTCTATTTTTTTTTCTTTTTCGCATTTTCTTAACGTGTTTGTTTTTGTCTATTTTTATGACATGCTTTTATGGTAATATTTTCTCTATCATTATGATATTTTGACGTTTCGTGTTGCATTCATCACGATGCACCTCATGATTAGGAAAGGTTGACAATCGTTCATAGTTATATCCTCTTTTGCGACAATTGTCGATGCATTCAAAACTGTTTACGAAATATTTTGTCAAATTAGTTCTCTCAATCTCCACGCCTACATCAAATATTGCGTTTAATTTTGAAGAGAGGGAAGAAGATTATTGATAATTTCTTCACACCCTTTGAATTTCCATGTTGTTTTGTGTTGTGTTGTCTTTATTGTATTTTGTCTTTTTATTTAATGAATACCTTTTAATTTTAAAAATGTAATAGTTTAAAAATTAAAAAGAATTGTGAGTAATTTCAAAATAAAAGATTGTAAATGTAAAGGTTCGAATAAAACATATGTTAAAATGAATTTCAATGTGATCTTATTGAGTTATTTCAGTGGTTAAAATGAGTATTGTTTTTTCTTGAGGTATTGAGTTTGAGCAGATAAATCTGTAGAGAGTGTGTATCGTCAATGATTGAAAAATATGAATAAATATTACTTTGTAATCATCACAAACTACTAAAAAAATACCATTTTTAAAATGATTTCGTAAAGCATTTATTTCATTTTTAAATATCCTTGCATTTAACTAAGCTAAATTTCTTAAGCGACATTGCTTGTTAGTCCATTGTTCTCCCTAAAATTCAGGTTCAAGCAGCTACGTCTGCAAGGTGTGTGCGTTATTAATGACTAAGAAAAATTCTTAACAAATACTATCTTATAATTACCTCATACTATTAAAAAAATTAAGTAAGATAATATTTAAAATGTGCATTAGTAAAACATTTCATGTGCTTTGGGCCTATTGTGTAAAAATGGATCATGATGCTTTCGAGACCCATATGTTTTTCCACATATAGGCCTACTGGACTGAAAGTGGCATGCCCTATGGCCTTTAAAGATACAATTTCCAAACAGGAATGGCAATGGGGCGGGTTTAGGACGGGTTTTGCTCGCCCCGTCCCCGTCCCCGAAATGAATCCCCGTCCCCGACCCGATTCCCGTCGGGTTTTTTATCGGGGCGCCCTGTCGGGAATTTGTTTTGCCCTGTCCCCGAACCCGACCTGAAATATTATACCCAAACCCGAACCTGAAAATACTATATATATAATTAATATAAAAAATATAAAATATTATATATATAATTAATACAAACAAATATAAAATATTATATATATAATTAATATAAAAAATATAAAATATTATATATATATAATCAGGGCAGGGATACCTTACCCCGAACCCAAAAAAATTTCCAAAAAAATCCCCGATACCCGACCCTATATCATTCAAACCCGACCGGACCCGAACTTGACCGGGTTTCGAATTTCCCCGTCGGGTTCAAGTCATGCTGCCATCCCTATTTCGAAATGGTTGGTACAATTAACTAATGAAGCTAGCCCAGCTGCATTATGATTAAAATAATGAAGAGTTTAGTTGGGGCATAATTCCAAAATGGGTAAGAGTTTAGACAGTTGTATCTGTAAAGTGTAAAGTGTATGCGTTATTAATTAATGACTAAGAAATATTTTGAATAAACACTATCTTATAATTATCTCCTCTTGTACAATTTTTTTAATAACTTAGCCATTTAATTTTCTTTTTTACAAATTCTAAATCCAATTTCTAATCCTTTCTAAAAGGGTAGGAAAGGGAACTATAGGAGAAGGAATGGGAGTGCTCATAGTGAGTCTAAAACATATGACCTAAAGAAATATAAGAAAATAAAAAATGAACAGTTTGACCAAACGATCAAATGTTAAATCAAATTAACTATATTATTATATTTATTACTAGTATTATATATAATCCATCGTTTTTACCTTAAATTTTATTTTACTAATATTAATATTGTAATATATTTATTACTATCATTAGTCATCTAGTCATTCATCATCCCAAAAACCTTCACTTTTAATTATTTGTTTCTTTTTCATTAGATCCTTCTAATTACCTCCACATTCATCAAGGCACCACTCTCTTAAAGCTAACACAACACAACATCTCACATAATTTATCGTCATTCTATTAAACTAGCCCACACGCCACACTACCATCAGAAAATCAACAAATACACCTCACTACCATCAGAATGACTTCAGAGACCACATCGATAATCACATCGTTTGAATTCTCGATCAAGTTTTATTATGATTTATTCTCATATCAGTTATGATTCTTATGGCAGTCAAAGCGACAAAAGCATCAGAATGCTATGTGTCTTATCTTGTCGCAAACATAGTAACTCATCAAGTTGTTGGACTTCTGACTGAATATTGGTTTCTTGAAGTTGGCCACCTTCTTTGGTTGGGAGTCACTACTCTTTCCGAGTTAGAAGTATCCATGAACCTGTTAGGTTTAGTATTAGAGGAAGAGGAAGATTCTACAAGATTAACTTTAGAGGATGATACATAATTTTTATTTTTAAGAAGATTTGCTTCCTCGGTTTTTACGTGGAAAATGAGCTATTTTAGGGACATATACCATTTATTGTACTTCAAAAGATTTTGATAGACAAATCATAACTTGGGTAGTTTATCCATCAATACATTCACACCTTTCTTCTTCAAATTCAATAAGAAATAACTCATAACATCATTTAGGTAGACACATCATAAAAAATGATTTTAAGACATTGAAGAGAATAAAGAATGAAATACAGAGAACTCCATTTACTTAAACCCTTCATAAACATGCTTTTCTCTACTATCGCCATTCTTAGAGCTTCATCAAAGCCACGAGAAATGAAGATGAAACTTACCTTCGATACTCTTGAATGGACAAAGGTTCTTAAAAATTTAAGCCTAATCTTAGCCCATGAAGTCCAATGGAGCCATCCTTTTATATATATATATACTGTGTCTAAATTTTGAAGTGTAATAATTCTTTCTAAAAAATATTATTTTCAAAATTTACCTGAATCAAATATACGTAGGTACTGAAGTTTTATTACCTCCTAGTGTTATGGTTGCTCCATAAAATTACTCTGATGTATAGTTAATTCAGAAAAAAAATTAAGATTTGTAGATTTTAAATTTCCAAAAGGGTAAATATCTTTCCAAATTTGTTTCTAATGTAACATCATTCCATATTTTTACCTAATTAAGTGCCTCTTACCTTATGCCATTTTAATCAATCAAATAATGCAGATTTTTAACCCAAGCTTTGCAAATTAAAATTACCATATGGTGCAACCTACACCTAATATTTGTCGTGCTCTTATTGTGAAGTCTGGACTTTAAATATATTACCTTTTCATTTATTAAAAATTAATTATCATCAACATAGATATTTAGTTTAAATCAATCCACCAATACACAGAGCACAGTTGTTATAAAAAAATAAATGGACATGGAAAAAAGGAAAGTTTTGCTGTTATCATGGGTAAGTATGTGATACAGTTGAATTAAAAAATTTGAAGTTAATTGAATTTTTGAGTTATATATTATAATTTAAAATTTATTTAAAAATTTTTAGTTGAGATAAATTTTAAAAATTACAAATTGAATCAAATAAAATTAGTTTTTTAATATTAGTTTGAATTTTTTAATTTTGGTAAAGTACACAAATGACCCATTAACTATAAAATATGCCAGTCAGCATGTTAATTTACCGCTCAGACTACTGTTAATTTTTAATCGAAAAAGACGAGTTTAAAATATAATGAATAATCAAGTGATCATTTTGTGACTTTTAATAGTCGTGAGACTCAACAAAACAACTGTCTAAAAGATCGTTTTATAACTTTTAATAATCAAAATTAAATAAAATATTATCTAATATTTAAGAGACTATTTGTGTACTCTATAAAAAAAATTACTTTTTATAAGTAGAGTAGAATGTTGCTTGTCCTTAAAATGATATAATATTATGGAGAAGTCGTTTTCGCCACCTAGTTTTGAAAATCCTGTGGGAATCAATATATCTAAAAAGCCGCTTAGAAAACAAAACTAAAAGCCGAAACCATGGGCTGACAAATTTAACACTTCTCCAACCTAAACAAAACCGGCTGCTCCGCTCTCTGTATCCTCTCTACATTGCCTTATAATCTCTCTTCACCTTTCTTTTTCTTGTGCCTTAATCTGTTCCATTATTCTAAATCCTTAAAAACCATTTGCAGCCTTTTTCTTTTTTTTCCTGGGTGTTGAAGAAGAAGAAAAAGCTTACAGCTTTTAGGTGCCTGCAGATTGTTACAACTCAGTTGCAGTCAGTTCTTTACTGGGTATGGCTCCTTTTTCAGTTTTAATACTTTTATCAATTGCCTGTTAAGAATTTAGGGAGAATTAGAAGTGGGAAATAGTGGCCAATGCACTGGGTGTTTGAGATCTCTGATAATTGTTGTGAAAGCTGTGTTTTTTTAATTGCTGTTCTGAATGGAAAGTAGTGGTGTGAGTGGTGGGGTGTTTTCTGGGATTGGTCCTGGACTGCTAGTCCTTGAAATGCCATTAAACTCCCAACATCATCCTCATCATCAACAACAACAACCTAGAAATCCCCCAACTGCCCAAAACTTGCCCCAGTTTCATAATAATACCCCTCAAATGGTTGGTTTTTCTTCCCATCATGAAACCGACCACTCACTGCACCAGCAACCTGTTAAACAAGGCTACCCTTTTGGTTCCAAAGCCAAGCAACAATCCCCTCTGAGTGATGATGATGAACATGGGTTTAATCCTGACGATGGCTCTGCTGCTGATGCCAAGAGAAAGACTTCTCCATGGCAAAGGATGAAATGGAATGATAACATGGTTAGGTTGCTTATAGTGGCGGTTTATTATATTGGTGATGAAGGTGGATCAGAAGGGAATGGATCAGATCCTACTGGCAAGAAAAAGGTTGGTGGTGGATTGTTGCAGAAGAAGGGGAAATGGAAGTCGGTTTCGAGGGCTATGATGGAGAAAGGGTTTTATGTTTCACCACAACAATGTGAAGATAAGTTCAATGATTTGAATAAGAGGTATAAGAGGGTTAATGATATACTTGGTAGGGGGACTGCTTGTAAAGTGGTGGAGAATCAAAGCTTGCTTGATGCCATGGATTTGTCTCCCAAATTGAAGGAAGAAGTTAGGAAATTGTTGAATTCTAAGCACTTGTTTTTCAGGGAAATGTGTGCTTATCATAATAGTTGTGGCCATGGTGCAACAGCTGGGGCTTCAGCTGCTGCTAATCAGTCACCGGAGGTGGCTACTGAGATATCACAGATTCAGCACCAGCAATCTCAACAACACCAATGCCTCCATTCGTCAGAGAATTCTCAAATCGAGGGGAATTTAGGTAGAATCGAGACAGAGGCATCAAAATTGGCTAAAGTAGACAGTGAAGAAGAGGATGCCGATGAAGATGAGGATGACGGTGACGATGAGGACGAGGACGAAGATGATGAGGATGGGGCTGTCGATGGTCACTCAAGGGGGAAGCAAGACCATGAGGATAACCATGGAAAGCCTTCTCGTAAAAGGCCAAGAAAGGGATCATATTCAATGTCACCAACGCCAATGATGCAACAATTGAGATGTGAAGTTATGAACGTGATGCAAGACGGGTCGAAGAGTGTTGGGGAAAAGAAGCATTGGATGAAAATGAGGCTACTGCAGTTGGAAGAGAAGCAAGTCAGCTACCAATACCAAGCATTCCAGCTGGAGAAGCAAAGACTCAAGTGGTTGAAATTCAGTGGCAAGAAAGAAAGGGAAATGGAGAGAGCAAAGCTCGAGAATGAACGAAGGCGGCTCGAAAACGAGAGGATGGTGCTGCTCCTTAGGCAGAAAGAGTTTGAAGTGGTTGATCTTCATCAGCCTCAGCCCCCACCTCAACCTCAGATGCACTCTTGTAACAAGAGGAGGGATCCATCTAACATATCTGGATGAAGAAAAGTAACATGAAAGGGGGTCACATTAGAATAATTAGATAGAGATTTTGGAGTTTATATCAGATATAGAAACCAACTACATCAAATATTGTTCTGTCAAAATTTTGTTATGAAAACCTATGTTCTCAAACATATGAATTCTATGTTTGATTTTTTTTTTGAAATTTGCTTTTGTCCATCATTAATGAGGTTTTTGGCTCACATTTCAGTTGTATTTATACCCGAGCCAATGAGCAAATTCGACGACCATATTAAAGGAAACACTGAACTTGGAAGTTTCTGCTAACAGGGTATCCAGTAAGGATGGACATGTGTCAGGTCCGGTAAGGATGGACATGTGTCAGGTTGACTCGAGAATTTCTTAACTCCATCAGACTCAAATTTAGAGGAGTCTTACCCGTCTCGACCTTATCTGACCCGACATCATTTTCAAATTTTAAATTCACTAAACTAAAAATTAAGATTCTACAAATATAAAAATAAAAAAAAAGAAAAAGAAAAAAAACATTAAAACATGAAAAAAGTAAAAAAGGGAAAGGATATAAAACAAAAACAAAAAACAAAAAATAGATAAGGAAAAAATACTTATCTTTCTAATATGAAAAATAAAAAAGGGGAAGCAAATAAAACAAAAATAACAAAAATAAAAAACAGATAAAGAAAAAAATACTTATCTTTCTAATATGGTGGTTTCCAACAATTGAGAGATATTTTTGCTGATCTCAATCGCGAATAAACTTCTCTTAATGAGAGAAACGATATAACTTTATTTCGGTTCGATCTGACAGCAGATAGAGATCGAAAACAAAAAGGATGAGCAATTTTGGTCTAGATTCATAAACATCGAAATATTTTCTGGTGAAATGGACATCGAATTTGAAATTAGAAGACTTGAAAGGTTTTGTAAAAAATTTTTGGAGTTAATAATAATCAACGACGATAGCTGGTGCGGAAGAAGGTGAGGGTTGTTGTGATAGAAATACGATCTTTTATAGTAAAGAATTTCGGGTCGGGTCAAGTAAGATATTTTTTTTAATTCTAAATTCGACATGCCTCGTTCCAAGTTTAACTTCTAAAAAGATTAGATTTTATAAAATCAATTTGAGCCGAAACTCAATAAATCTACGTCTAAATCTCATATTTCTAAAATGCATTACATTTCTAAAAAGAGACTTCTTCGTCAAGCCAAACATGCCAAGTAAAATATTTTAGAAAAAGATTATTAATTAATTTGGATTGGTTAACAAAATTAATCCAATTTAAAACCCTACTTTTCTCTTTAAAATAGTTCTATAATTTTAAGCAACATCATAGTCTCGTCATCTTGAAGTGTTTGTTTTTGTCTTATCTATCGCATAATTATTCCTATATTTTTATGACACGTTTTCTCTATCGTTATGATAGTTTGACATTTCCTGTTACATTTATCAAGATGCACATTCTGATCATGAAAGATCAACAGTCTCTCATAGTTAGATCACCTTTTACGACAGTTTGTCAATGTATTCAAAATCATTTGCGGAGCAATCTGTCAGATTGATTCTCTTAATCTCCACGCCTACATCAGTATAACATATAGTTTTAAATAGAGACATGATTACTAGGTTTTTTTGTAAGATGAAGCATGTATTCAAGGAAGATTTTGATTTTATTTTCTTCATACTATTTGGATTTTCATATTGGATTGTGTTATCTTTGTTGTACCTTGCATTTTTATTTAATAAAGAAATAGTTTTTTTTTTTAATTTTTAAAAAATTAATCAAAGTTAATATTTGATTGTTATTTTGGTTATTTAATATTTTTTATTTGTTTTAAGTTATTATATTTACTAATTTGATATTTTATAGTTATTTTTTTAACCTTGAAACAACACTGAATTTTATTGAAACAAAACAAGATGCAACATTAACAATGCAATCAAATACGGGGAATATTATGGACTAAGTCCACAAAAAAACTCAAACATAAAACTAAATAAAAAAGAAAATCCAAAGGCACAAAAACAATCAAAGCTTCTTTCGAATATGCGTCCATCAATCATAGTAACCCAATAATTGTCAATAGTATTCCTTTGTCTCTATCCTTTATTTGCTTCATATGAGAAAACAATGATGAAAACTGAATTGAGTGAACGTTTAATTATGCGAACTTATTTTTCTTTTGTGGTTTATCCTTTATTTGTTTCATTTATTAATCTCTTTGGTAAAGTGTGTGTTCAAAGGTTTTTGAGGTATAAATCTTACAATATAAGGTTACACATTGTCCTTAAAGGTAAGCAAATCTAATAGATTTTAATTTTTTTTATTGTATATGTGTCGCAATCGTCTTTCGGTTGGGCACTGGAATTGGGCTTCGACTTAGGAAAATGTGGATTGGAGTCGCCACCGACCACTTTAAAACGAATTTAGGTGGGTCGGACACCATTTTACCTGATCTGCGTTGTACCAGAAACGTGTCGAGTTCGGGAGTCGGTTACGGTCAAGGAAGGATTAGCACCCTTGAACCGCCCTTTCGGTACCACATAATTTTCAATTGTCTTAAATTAAGAAAATTGTAATTTTAAATAAAAAGGTAAATTTTGATCCTGATTACTTACCTTAGATTGATTTGAAAATGTCCTTAAAAATCGAGAAATGTGTTAGATAAACAAGGTAAAGAAAACAAATAAGATAAAGAGAATAAAATAAAAGGGAAAAAATAAAATAAATAAAATAAATAAATAAGATAAGGAAAAAAAATATAGTTAATTTGAAAAAGGAAATATATATATATACATCAAAGTATTAATAAAATAAATAAGCTATATATATATATACAACAAATATTTAAAAATAGAAAAGCTACTCTCTCACTTCACCGAAAGTGGGGGCTTTAGTAAAAAAATAAGACAAAAAGAGAAAAGTGGGAGAGACTTTAGTTAGAAAAAAAATAGGCCCTCCAAATTAGTAGTATATAAAATAATGTTTAATAATAATAATGATAAAGACACAAGATTTTTTAAAAAATAATATAATAATGAATAAAAAAATAATAAAAATAATATATATATATATATATATATATATATATATATAAATAAAGAAATAATAAATAAAATAATTAAGAATATATATAAATATATATAATAATAAAATAATATAAATATAACTAGATAATAATACAATATATATAGTAAAATAGACTTATAAGAAATTATATATATATATATATATATATATATATATATAAAAAATAAATATAGTAAAAAAATCAAATGAAAATAATTTAAAATATATATATATATATACGTATAATAGTAACATGAATAATAAAAATAAATGAATAAAATATCCATATAATAAATAAATGGACTAATATAGATTTTTAAAAAGCTCTTCCCCTCATTTAACCGAAAATCAAACCGGTTTTTCAAAATAAGCCTCGGGGAAGCGTAGATCTAAGAGAAAAGATCTCGGTTCCTTTATGTTCATCGGCCCTTTCAAAGTAAAAATGGAAAAGAAGAAGTGAAACAAGCCACATGCAAGCGAGAATCGAAGCAATATAGGTAAAAATACCTCTTTTATTTATCTGTTGAAAATTACAAGCGAATCTTTGCGGCTTATTGCATATTTGCTTTGGGTATTTTTGTGTGTGCGTAATCCAATATGATAATCGTGTCTCTTGGTGTGGTAATTACAAGGCTTATTTATAGTACTAAAAAACCCTATTTTAGACTAGTATTTGAGTCCTAATCCAACTCTATTCGTTTCTGATAGATTTGACCATGGTGAATGACTTTCAGTCTCTTTTCATCTATCAGATTAAGCTGATCATATCTGGATTATACCCATTCTGCGTCATCCAATTTAATTTCTATCAAGACCCATAATGACGGAATTTCTACTTCAATGGGCAGCACTGCTTCTATTCCGTAGGATAGTGAAAATGGGGTTGCCCCAGTTGAGGTTCGTACCGAGGTTCGGTAAGCGAACAAAGCGAAAGATAACTTCTTATGCCAGTCATTGTAGGTCTCGGTCATTTTCTCCACTATCTTTTTAATGTTTTTGTTTGCTGCTTCTACCGCGCCGTTCATCTTTGGTCTGTAAGTAGTAGAATTGTGATGCTTTATGTTGAATTTCTCGCAAGCAGCCTTTATCATTTTATTGTTCAAGTTTGTAGCATTATCGGTAATGATCCTTTCAGGTAAACCATACTGACATATGATCTCTTTCTTCAAAAACTTGTAAATAACAGATTGAGTGACATTGACATAAGAAGCAACCTCTACCCACCTAGTGAAATAATCGATAGCTACAAGGATGAAACGATGACCATTCGAAGCCTTCGGATGAATTTGCCCAATAACATCCATGCCCCACATAGAGAAAGACCATGGTGACGTCATGACATGAAGCGGATGAGGTGGAACATTTATTTTATCTCCGTAAATCTGACATTTATGACATTTTCTAGCGTAGTTGATGCAATCACTTTCCATTGTGGGCCAGAAATATCCGCATCTCATTATCTATCTCGACATCATTTGTCAATTTACATGTGCTCCACAAACTCCATCATGTACTTCTTCCATTATCATTTTTGCCTCTTCAGCATCGACGCACCTTAACAAAACTTGGTTATGGCTTTTCTTGTACAAGACCTCCCCATCAAGGACATATCCAGCTGCCATCCTTCTAATGGTTCTTTTATCAGTCTCAGTGGTTTCCTCTGGATAACTTCAATGCCTGATATACTGCAAAATGTCGTAGTACCAAGGCTTGGTGTTTTTTCACTTCTTCAATCTGGTAGCAATGAGCCGGGTACTCATACGACTGCATGTCAATTGGCATCATTTCAGATTCCCCGCCAAGTTTGAATGCGGCTGCCAAGGTAGCCAAAGCGTCATCCATTTGATTTTCTTCTCTTGGCACATAGTGGAAGGTGACTTCATCAAATTTTTCGAGCAGATCCAATATTAACTTCTGGTATTCCATCAGTTTTGTATCTTTGGTTTCCTATTCTCCACGGAGCTGATAGATTACTAATGCTGAATCTCCGTATATCTGCAAGGTCTTTACATTTTGCCCCAGTGTAGCTCGAATTCCCAAGACACAGGCTTTATACTATGCCATGTTGTTGGTGCAATCGAAGTTTAGTCTGCTGGTAAATGGGTAGTGACTCCCTTC